TGGTACTATTTTGGGTAAATAAGGCGAGAGTCTAGCTACCTCAGATGTGTATATAATTAGCGCTTTCTACCTCCTAAATCCTCATAGTTCTGAATATCAAACACATCAGCAGTTCATATTGATTCATCCATAATCATCCGTAAACCTTCTGCCAATTAACCTCCGTAAGCTCTTACCTTTACAACAGTCTGTACACCTGTCAGTGGTGTCCTCTACGAACCTGGGAGCAAAATATTCTCCCAGAGCCGAGATTCAGTCACGAAAAAGGGTGGGATGAATTTTATTTGATGGATTTCCGACTTGAAGGAGTTGCACTCGATATTTTGGACGAAAAATCTGTCGGCAGAGATTTCATAGCCGAAACAAAGTTGAACAAAAGCTTATCACCACTAACATACGATTCACGAATGGGCCTAGGTCTATATGGGGGTCGTATTCAAACATCCGACATCTCTCAAACTCTTTATGTATTTGTGAAGAAGCATTTCTCAGTTGATTCTGCACCTGCGACCCACCTCCATACTCGTCACATCACCTACCTACACATGCCCTAATGAGGAAAGTCATGATGGAAACGGGACGTGTACAAAAGAGGAAGAAAAAGGAAGATACACCGAGAGTATTAGACAAATCACCAATGACGAAAGCAACCCAACAGTACGACATGAAGGTGGAAGGCTAGAGCAAAGATGAGATCTGGGACTACATTTATATTTCGGAGTCAATGAGGATGTCAAGGGCTCGGGCGCGTGGTGGCCGAAGCTGAGGAGGAATTTGCGCTTCGGCGCGTCAAGATAGGGTTCTCTGGACGGTGGGGCTTGAAATGATTCAACACATGAAGTCTGGGGTGGGACGAGGTAGATGTACTTAATGCTAGTTAACCTGATCCTGCCCGGCCCCACTCGTGCTTAACCTCCAGTAGGAGTGCAACGGTAGTCACTTAACCTACCACGTTAATGAATGAAAAAAAATCTCGGCGTCGAAAGTTCCGCATCCATGAAGCGACACCCGTTCTTTCTTGAAGATAATTACTCCGCTTTGAAGCACATAGACCCACGTTGGTCAACGTGACCTCCTGAGGACCCATCTAAATAAGCACAAATCTCAGATGGGTGGATGTTGTCTAGAAAATAATTGTCATACAAATTTTTCAACAATTTGCCCAAATATGGGGGCTAACCCCAATGTGGAATGTGACGATGCCTAAGCAATCCAGCTTGTACGCTATAGCTCTGCGAAAACCCCACTGCAAACTTGAAGCCGTGACAACATGGTACCTGCATGGGCGAAATCAAATCAAATCAAATCATAATTTGTTTGTTTATTCCATTTACATCCTGTCTAAGTCTAAGACTATTGTAGGATAAATCATAATATTTGGGCGCTTCCCATGTCCTGAATCCTGCTTATCCCCAAAAGCCTGTAATACTAATTTATCCAGAGATATTTCTATTACGCATAGAATAATTAATTACTAAAACTGGTCTTGGAAGAGATCTTGTAGTTCATATCTGTAGTTTTTTTTTTTAATAATTATTTAACGTCGTGCTAGCTCACAACACAACCTTAAGGTCTCGTGTTGGCCAGCTCAGTCTACATAAACTACCCGACGTGCCGATACCTTTCAATAAGCCCGACATGTTATAAATGGGCCAAGGCCTACCTGCTATGCACCCCGAACTATCGAAAGAAGCCAAAAGTACTCTCGAGCTGAGACTTTTGTATTCTAATACAATAGAGAAGATAGTTATATATATGAAAAGGAAAGTTATTCATCACCTAGACGAGAAGTCTTCTAAATTTAGCTCTAGCAAATACATGCCAAGTGCATGTAATTTGGGGTACTAGTTAGTCTTGTTGTTGCATGCTTCAAAAAAGCTCGTTTCATGAAGCCATTTACTAAAAGCTATGGCTCCTTCAGGTGAGCCTAGGATCCAGCGAATTCCCGTCGTTGGGTGTTTATTCCGCTCCAAAGGCGGGAACGACTCCGATTGAGTCTACAAAAGAAGAAGTGCTCGGGCGACTTTTCTAGCCCGCAAGCGCAGATTAGAAGAGCGTCCGAGTGCTGAAAGCGGCGGTGGTAGTCAGCAAAGTCTCCATGGCCTGAGCCAGCTGCAAGAAGGCGACCAAGAGCGTAGCGGTTAAGGCTCTTGAGTTCGGGGGAGCTCCCAATATTGGCGTTAATTCCCAGTTTTTGGTATCGTTCAGGAGCGTTTTTAGACCAGTACAGGGATACAGAGGCTTTGTATCGAGAGATTATGTCTCTCTTTGCTCGTGAGCTTGTTGGAGATAGGGGGAGTGAAGGGGTTGCGCATGCTTGTTTAGCAAGTGCATCAGCAGCTTCGTTGCCCGATATGCCGACATGTCCTGGACACCATCGCACCCTGACTACACCCGGTTCAGGAAAGTGGCTACGATCTCTCTCTATCCATTTAGTAGCAAGGTATCGAAAGTAAGCGATACGAGAGGAGCTGCTAGGGGAAGGAGTATCTGCAAGGAGACGAAGGGCGGCTTCCTGATTGTCTAGGCAAACCGTAATATTTGTGGCGTGTCGAGCCATCGGATTATGGAGGGCGGCACTTAGGCCTTCAGTGGCCCTGGCTATTTCTGCATCGTACACTTCGGCAGATTCTCCGAGAGGAAGGGTCCCCTGCCCAACTATCTGTGTGAGGCCCCGATAGATAACATATCCAGACCCGGCTCTACCCTCTGAAAGGGCACCGTCAGAGAAGACGAATAGATCCAAAGGGGGTTGAGATGCTTGCCAACTCATGAATTCTTTCCGGCCATTTTTTCTGCCTATAGCCCCGATATTTTGTAGAAGTAACTCTCGACTGGTATTCCATGGGGGTGGTACTGTATCAGTTGATAGTTCGGGAGATGTTCTTTGTCGGATCCACAACATTCGGGATGAAGTCCAGCGCCGCCGTAAAGGGTGACGTGGGTCTGCTGACGCGACTCGAACTGTGAGGCGGTCGTGTATCCGTTCTAGCCATGAGCTAGCCGTCCCCCATCCGGTCTCTCGAAGAAGGACAGGGGTCGGAGTCGTTCGGTAGACAGGAAGGACGGCTCTAGCAGCATCATTAATTCTGCACTGAACACGCCTTATTATGTCCTGTGGAGTACTTTTGGAATACCATGTCTCGGCTCCAAAGAAGAAGATAGCGAAAGCTGTTCCTTGAATAGCTTGTCTAAGAAGGGGAGGGCTGATACCGCGGTCATATCTGTAGTTGTCAAACAGATTACCCTAAGTTTAAATGTTGTCTCATGATGTTTAAGTTGAGTAGTTTACAAGCAAGTAAACTGGGCTAATGCATCAAGGGCAATAACTTAGTCATGCAAATGTTACAATTAGCGACTAGACGGATGGCCAATTTCATACGCACAACTCCCTTGTTGTTTCACTCCTTCTATTGCCCATGATAATGTAACAGCCAATCTTAGACCCATGTATGGAACAGAGATTTGAGCAGTTCGTATTGGCAATCTAATATTCAGTCTATATTTGGAATTAGTAGGATACTCAAGATGTATATAGTACCTAGATAGATTCCTCATGGGGGAGAACAATCAATTCAATAAACTCTGAGAGAGATTCATATTAGTATAACTTTGCTCAACGGTAGTTAATATTGGCTGGCCAGATATCCCACTGAGTATCTCTGCCTCAGGCCATAACAGCTGCTCCTTTCAAGATGGGTATACCATTCATTGATAACAGAGCGAACTGGCCACAGGGACTTCGATGAGGACCATTGACATTTTTGCCGCCTGAACAAAAACTTGAACTGCCCTTACAGAATAGAGAGGAGGCTATGGCACTTAGCAAATCGCCAGCTGGCTCTGTAGTGTTGGAGAAACTGTGAGGAGAAAGCCCCAACACGGGTTAAAATGATGACTGGACTAGAATAGTATACAATTTATGTGCCTACTGTTTCTATGACTAGGAAGGACGGCTAAAACTATCTGTCTAGCTTCAAAGTCAATGGTTAATTTGGATATTGATGAGCTTAATATTTGCCAATAGATGATGAGGGTCATGCCCTATTTTAATGATGATTGGAGAGGATTGGCAATGATTTTTCCATTTCTTGACAATAACTGAATATTTTGATCATGTGAGTATTCTACGGGATGGTACAGATTACCAATGAGGTAAAAAAAGCCTTTACTCTCTTTGAGTGTATTAGAGGCAGATACGACGCAGGGCGTTGAAGCTGCGAAACTTCGTATTTATTTCCTTTGTTATCCTCCAGTCCAAAAGGGCTTTGTCATGTACGTTAATATGAGCTCTTAGGAACCACATACCCGTATCACGCCCCTTGAGTGTATGCCATAGGTCTGCTGGTATGGCATTCAAATCACATCAACCTTTTATCCTGGACATAGAGTGAGTTCTATAAGTATTCAAGGGTCTGTGCGCGTGGTTGGGAGTTTAGTAAATTTTACTTGGGCTTATTTTTGGGGTTTATTTTAGTTTTTACTTTTATTACATCTAGTATAGCTAAGGCTTACTTCAATAGGTCATAATATACAGAGGCATCAACGAATTAATATAGACAAATATGTGTATAGAAGCGTTTGAGACCAAGCACTGACTTATGTTTTGAGTTTTAATAGTATGACAATGATTATCTATCATTTTATTGCTCTTAAATTAGGAAAGACATAAGTTTTGTACTTGAACTTTGAGAAAAATGTGCATCATGTGAAGTAGCCCTCAAATACGCCCTTGACTCTATGGAAGTATCAGTGATATAACTTGTCATCGAAGTAACTGTGATGTCATTTGAAATTTTCTCTAAATTCGTGTAAGAGAAGCCAATTGTGACACCTATTGCAGGTATAATTCGTAACAAATTTTCCCTAAGAATATTTCTAGCACCACTTATAACTATGAGGTTATTTCTCGGTTCTTAATAATTCTATATTAAATTGAAGTTTATTGCCGGTGGATAATACAGTGTCTGAGTATGTTTGTTAATTTTTCTCGGGGATTTTCAAAGGACCCTTTCTCTATGTCCTTTTAGGCGCTCAAATCGATGAAAGTTCATGATGAATGTTCCTCTTCCAGCTGTTAAACTGTGGACATGCTTTAGATATCCAATCATCTCTTTCAAAGGGACCATAGCGATAACCTGTCGTCGCTGTCCAGTATTGTTGGTATCATCGTTGATGTCTGTGATTGTAAAATTATCTTTTGGCACATAGATCTTTTTAATATCTATGGGTGGCAGCTCGATGGCATCTTCTTCGTTGATTCCGGTTCCTAATGAAACCACATGTCCGCCACGGGCGGCAGATATATCATGCACGATGGCACCTAAAGAGGTATCGTCACAAGATATGAGAACTTTCATTAGGGGTTCCAAAATGATGATGTGACCATTCGAATGGGATTCTTTAAGAGCATCCTGAACTGCTAATCGTGCTACTGAAGCTAAAGCAGCTGGTGTAGTCTCCTTACTGAATAAATCGCTTTCTACATTGATGATGATTGTGACATGGGTATTATGAAGAGGATAGGAGCGACGAGGTCCCCTAGATAATGCTGAAATTACACCATTAGTCAAGGAAGATTGAACAAGGGAGGACGACAAGTCAGGAGGCAGCTTTTGGTTCAGCTCCTCTGGCGACGTCGAATTGAGAAATTTGACAGTAATAAGATTTCCATTATGAATGGTTGTAAAATTATCAGTTTTCTGTAGGATATCAGTAGCTAGTTGAACAATAGGCTCGATTATAGCTCCGCATGCAGCTTTTGCCTTCTTTCCGGCAATCTCTCGATCAAAAACTATATGATTTTCAGGGGTCGCATGTAAAATGGACTCTCTATAGCTGATTTCAATGTTTCCCATGGTCGCTTTTGCTTTATACTCATTAATCAGTCGATCCCGGGCTATTTCGAGATGCAAGTCCCCCATCCCACTCAATAGCATTTGGCCAGAGTCTTCATCTATACTTAAGTTTAAGCTGGGATCTTCTCTTATTAAAAGCCCTAGTGTTTCAGCCACATTTTTCTCTTCACCAATACTGTGGGGCTCGATGGCAGCAAAGAACACTGGTGGCGGAATATCTATTGGCCTCAACTGGACTACGTTCAAGGGAGATGGTGGCCCAATCTTTGGATTGAAATTCGGATACGCGATTAAAGTATCTCCAGTTCGTGCATACTTTAGTCCAGTTATCACACCGATCTGGCCTTTATCTAAACAAGATATCTCAACCGCATCAGATGCTTGCATCTGCAGGACACGCTGAGACTTTTCGGTGACGTTCAAATTAGTGTTCCAAAGCGCAGTATTCCGTTTAACTCTCCCATGATAGACTCTGACGTAGACTAAGACTCCACGACGAATATCGCTGGCAACCTTGAAAACTAGTGCACATGCTTCTATTTTTGATACCAAGGAATTGGATAAGGTTTTCATCGTGGCTGACTTAATATTTTTCGTAAAGTTTGGAACCAATCTTCCCTGTAAAATCTCGGATAATCCACACTTTTGATTTTCGATACTTACTTCTGGATCAGGCCTCTCAGTAGGATCTGGTAAAAGATCGTTGACAGCATCTAAGAGTGGCTGTATCCCGATGTTTCGAAAACTCGCTCCTGCAAAGACTGGAACGAGCCTTCCTGAGCCATCAATCAAACACCTCCTGATGCTAGCCCAAATACTTTGCGCATTAATAGATAGACTATCATCATTCACCGCTAACCACTCTTCAAAAAGCTGCTCATCAAAGTCACAAATAGATTCGACAAGAGCTATGCGTGCTTTAATGAGTTCCCCATGAAAATTTGGATCCTCTTGCAAGAGTTCTTTCATATCGAAACTCTGTATATTTTTTCCATCACTCTCTCCTTTCCACCATAGGGCGCGGAGATTAACTGCATCCCCGATTCCTCTAAATTTACCAGTCTCTTTTTCGAACCAAGGAATCTGACACACTGCCGGGTAACCACGAAGGCGCGATCCAATCTGTCTGACAGTCCTTCCGAATGCGGCGCCGACGCGGTCCAGTTTGTTAACAAAAACTATTCTTGGAATCTTAAATTTCTGTGCTTGACCCCACACTTTTTCCGTTTGAGCCTCAACTCCTGCAACGCCGTCTAGTATACACACCGCTCCGTCTAGAATCCTTAGCGACCGGAGTACTTCAAATGTAAAATCCGCATGCCCGGGTGTATCAATGAGATTTATTGTGTACGATACACAAGCATTATGTCCATCGTGGCTTGTAGTAGCTTGGTTAAGTGGTGGCCAGCGAAATGTGACTGCAGCTGACTGAATGGTAATTCCTCTACTTCTCTCTGCCGGAAGAAAGTCTGTAACAGTTGAGCCTTCATCAACGTCTATGTAAACATTAGTACTCTTGATTTCTATAGGCAAAGCGCTAGTTAAAATTCCAAACCAAGCTGCCAAGATATTTTACCTCCAATACGTCTAGTCAACCCACTATAGTAGAGCATACGCTCAGTAGTGGTAGTCTTTCCCTTTAATCATGTTAAAAAGGGAATCTAGATTTTGAGAATATTCAACTCACTGCATCGATGTGTGCGATGATCCCGATGTTCCGCGTATTTTTGATTTGGAATTCATATCGACAGGTTGAAGTTGAATAGCGAGCACATGAGAATCTAAGCTTGGATAGATGCTGAGTGACCAGTAGCTGTCTATAAAGCTTCATTCGGAACGCTATGATATGACACACTTTGATGTTAGTCCTCTTTATCACGAGGCGGAGCTTACGGTAAATTCTCGCGTGTGCGAAACATCATCATATCTCTGACAGAGATAGAAGTTGGCACCTAGTCCATAAAAGCATTTCCAACCTGACTCGTCGCATACTATTTCTGATCAAGCTCAGATCTAAGATTCTCGCTCATCCTGGATATACAGGTAACTAATAACCGAAATTTGCAATGGATTACTCCCACTCCATCGCCGACGATGACGGCCCAGTAGCTTCTCCTTGGGAATCAGCACCAGTTTCTTCTCCTCAGGATGAGGTTAAGAATTCTTTTCCGCCTACGGTTGCACTCCATTCTCCATCACGTATCGGCTCTTTTGTAGATGGATTTTCTGAAAGTAACGCCTTTGACCAAGGCATATTTGAGAGAAGAGATAAAGATTCAGGCACAGACTCAGTACTCGAGAACCAGGACCAGCGGCCTAGTACAGCAACAACTGTTGAAAGCCAGTCTCAGGACCAGCAACCACTACTTGGTCAGACCTCTCCTCAGGCTCAAGATGTACCACAGCAATCAATTCGTAAGGAAGGACGTCGCCCAGAACCTCAAAGATATCATCGTCCTATACGTCAGAATCAACAGCCATCTGAAAATCCACATAAATTGCAAGCCAAGATTACTGGCTTAGAACGAATAGGACGAAAGGACCCTATTTTAAGGTTTGATGTCCACGTATGTAATTCTATTCTTATATTATTCAGCTTGCACAGGTCTACTGACATATTAGACCAATTTACCTAAATTTCGTACAACCCAATTTCGCGATGTGCGTCGCACGCACTCCGAGTTTGTCAAACTTGCAGACCATCTTATATCTTCTAATCCGGAGGCTCTCGTTCCAGCTGTCCCTCCAGCACTTACTTCAGCTGGCATAGGAACAGAAGAAGATGAAGTCAGAGTTAAAGCATCTCTCCAAAAGTGGCTGAATCAAGTGTGCTCCAACGAAGTTCTCATGGGGGACGAGGAAATATTGTTATTTATCGAGAGTGATTTTGGATACAGCCCGATGCTTAGAAGAAAACAGCCGGCAACAGGTGTTAGAAGAAAAGTAATTAAGCAGTTTGCTCCACCACCCGATGACTCGCCGGAACTTCAGAATGCTAGACCATTGGTGAAGGCTTTCTATCTTGGAACTATGGATGCTGGACATAAAGTTGACAGGCTCGTCAAGGCCCGAAAAGGTGACAAAATTTAAAGTTAGAAATAGTTCAAAGACGTGCTAAAAAGTTGCATGTAGGCCTTGGTCTTGCAGAATCCGATTTTGGAGTCAAGCTTGGCTCTATGAACGTCCAAGAACCTCATCATGGATTAGCAAACGCGTATCGTAAATTAGGTAAGATAATCCAGACGACCGGAGATAATCATGCTGCACAAGGCACAGCTGAGGCTACAACGATTGGCGATCCATTGCAATATTACTCGCAAGATGCATTCATAGTCAAAGAGACCCTCACTAATCGCCATATTTTGCTACGCGAACTGAATCAAGCTCAACAGCTTAGAAGAAACAAATCAAGCGCTGCAGATAGGCTAAGAGCTAGCTCCTCTGTCCGGAAGGAAAAGGTCGATGAAGCAATAATAGCTCTCAACGAAGCTATTGCAAATGAAAACGAACTAATGAATAAAACTATGCGCGTTACAAGTAATTTATTGCTTGAGCAGCGACGATGGTTAACACGTACGGTCGCAGAGCTAAAGCAAAGTATACGTGAGTATGCAATTCGTGAGATTGAGGCTGAACGACGGACCTTGGCTACATTGGAAGTTGTTCGACTAGACATTCGAGCTATTGATTCTTCCGGTGGGCTTAGCCGACTCGGACGGGAGTCACACCCTGCAGCGAGACGTACAAGCTTAGCTTCGAGTCAAGGAGCAAAAGGTGATGCATGGAGCGGAGTTCCACGACGCGCTGATCAAATGAACCGGAGTCAATCTGGAAGTTTAATGTCTAATATTCTTGAAGCGAACGATGGGGGTAAATCAAATAGTGCATCTTCTGGAAGTTTGACGGCCACCAAAGAAGCTGATGATTTGGATCGGGTTGATGCGCGAAATGCCGCTTCTAGATTAGCCGCAGCCACATTTCTCTAGGAAATATTTAATTACGAGACCAGGAAACTCATTTAAAACTATCACCTTAATCTATACACGCATTTTCTCACTTGAGGTAGTGCTAAAATTGACATGAAATCAATGAGTTTATTCCCAAAATGCTAGCTTTCATTCGTGTAAGGAGGTAGTAGACTCCATGATCTGCCCTTGATATCTCAGCATAAAAATCCTACAGGCTGGATCTTTGGGATAGGTGGGATTAACATAAAGGCAGTCAAGCTCAAGAGGGTGAAGGATAGCGAAATCTCGAAAGGTAAGATATATCCATGTCAAGGAATTGTCATATTGTGGAGCATTATGCGCGCCAAAACTTGGTTTGCTTAAGCCTAAGCAGCACTACAAATACTGCAGTGTTTGGATGGTTTAATAGCACATAATCCAGGCTGGTCATTCTAGTAGATTTTGGAAAGCATGGAGGCTCAGTTGGAAATAAATCGCTGGATGAAATTCAGCAAGACTCTATCATATTCGGACCAGCATTTATGGAGTTGATTTTTGGCGTCTTTTTAAATCATTTAATGTGTATTCAGCTATAGAGCTATGACACATGACCGGTGCTATGCTTATATGTAGGAAGACTCTTTTTACGTTAGAGACACTCATACTCTGGATTTCATTTGCAAATACCACTATGAGGTATGCTTGCTTATACAAACAGTCGACTCTCCTCCGTAAGTACCCACCAAGGGAATTTAAAAACCTTTGATTATCCAAGCATGTCTTCGTCATCCATGCACACCAGCGCCGCGAGAAAAGTGGTTGTATTTTGCTGGATTTGAACCAGCAATCTACTGTCTCAAGTGGGATATGTGTCCACGCTACCCGGACCCTGTATGATAGACCGGCCAAGAAGATGTACCACCGCACCATCCAACCAAGGCGGTGTTTATAGTATCGCCTACACTCGTTTCGTTTGCGTCAGTTGAGTTACTTATTTCTATGAATATTTAGATCTCTCTATGAAAATTCTAGAGATTCTTGTGGGCAATAATGACAAAGGCATGATTTGATAACCAAAAGTTTTCCCAGAACCACATTCTCTATCGCCTCCTCGGGCAGCACCAGACTCGGATCCACACAGCACAGAATTCTGTTTAAAGCATATATTGGGTTCTTGCTTCAGCCGAGTGAGTTCATGCATCCAAAATATGGGTGCATGTTACGGTTTGACCGTTGATTGAGCTTGGGTGAATACCTAAGCATATTGTTGAGAATATTTACGGCAAGGCTGCATGGGGAGGGATAGATGAAGCTAAACAAGACGGCACTACTAGTCAGGAGGTCGGAGGGCAAGACTGAACACCTGTACGCGGTGTCCTCTACGAAACTGAGAGTGAAACATTCTCCCAGAGCCAAGTTCAGTCAAATTTCGCAATATCAAAGAAGTTGGCCCACGAGGCAAAAATTCAAATTACTCCACCATGTCAATCTTTCACTCGCAAAGAGTCCGATTCTCAACTAAGCTTCATCAAGTCTACAAGTACGACCTAGTACATCCTCATCCCAATGACCACACCTCTCGTCGACTTTCTCTGGCCTCAGCCGGTCACCAAATACACGCCCACGCCGATATTTATACCCGACGGAGGAAGCAAAGCGTGGAGCACAAATCTGGGAGATAGATCTTTGGGATGGACGTGAGAGGAATGAGGACAAGTTTACAAGATGATGCAGAAGAGGGATACGTTTTCGACGGGCGTGGAATTTTGAATTTTGGCAAGAGTTTTACGAATTGAGCTTTGTGCGCGCCAAGACTTCGCTTGCGAGAGTGCAGCTGACACTGTAAAAACAAGCAAACGATGGAAGGTGTTGTGGTCCGCCTCCTGGTGGTGTTCTCTGGTATGGTCTGAGTAGCCTGGGCACCTACTCCACTTGGGAAGGAGACATCTCAGATTACATTTCGCGCGGAGAAAATTTGATGGATGACGGAGGCATGTCTGGATAACTCAGGGTTTTTGAGACGTTCCCCTGGGTGGGTATTCACGGATGAGGGTTGACTTGGGGTGAAGAAAAAGCCACCATAACTTCGCAGTGGTACTTGCAAATGAAATCTGAGGCATGAGTGCTCTTATTATAAACTGAGTCATCTTTTCTGTACTTTTCTCTGATATTGTGTCATAGCTAGATAGCTGCATACGCAATTAAAATCTGATGCAAAAAAAAAAAAAAAATGGTCAGGAGGTCGAAGCGTTACTATAACTAAGTAACACCTGGCAATGCGTGGCTGGGTAGCAAGTATTGTGCCTAAGGATAAGTCATCAGTCTGGAGATTAACTTAGGGGACCAATTCTTATAATTATCTGTTACTCGTAGCTAGAGTTCTCCTTTCTCCTCATATAGTTTAATAAATCGATTTATTCATCACCAACTCGGTTTCTATCACAGTGCATATCACAAATTTCTTTGAAAAGGCACACGTCTGACTGGAAAGGAGTCATATAATAAGAGCCTGAGGGCTTTTGTTTAATGCACCCTATTTCCTTCTCTCCTACTTTTACTTTTGTGTATTTACTCTTCATTTGATATCATCTTTAAATCATGAGTCTACGAAAAGCCAGTATTCATGTATAACACAATCCTGGAGCGCAGGATGAGGAGATCCTGGCTTTCATTTTTTTTGCATCAGATTTTAATTGCGTATGCAGCTATCTAGCTATGACACAATATCATAGAAGTGTATAATAGATGACTCAATTTACAAGAAGAACACTCACGCCTCGGATTTCATTTGCAAGTACCACTGCGAATTTATGGTGGCTTTTTCTTCACCCCCAAGTCAACCTTCATCCGTGAATACCCACTCAGGGGAATATCTTAAAACCCTGAGTTATCCAGACATGCCTCCGTCATCCATCAACTTTTCTCCGCGCGAAATGTAATCTGAGATCTCTCCTTTCCAAGTGGAGTAGGTGCCCAGGCTACTCAAACCATACCAGAGAACACCACCAGGAGGCGGACCACGGCACCTTCTATCGTCTGGAAGCTGAATTCGTAAAACTTCTGGCCAAAATTTGGAATTTCACGCCCGTCGAGGTTATCTCCTTCCATTGCATCATCTTGTAAACTTGTCCTAAACCCTCTCACGTCCATCTCAAAGAACTGTCTCCCAGATTTGTGCGCCACGCTTTTTTTTCCTTTCATTTACATCCTGTATAAGTCTAAGACTATCAGAGGATGTGCAGCTTTAACTACAAATTATAACTCCCACTCTCCCAGACTAAATCTGGTTTTCATCTTTCTCTTCCCTAATGTACCAACCCCTTGTACTTATTCTTGTGTCATTTAAAAATTCCAGTGCTGCTGTAATTCCAACTGTGCTATGAAGCAGGTCCTGTATACTCATCTGCTTCCTTCCAATCCTTTCCTTCATCCTTTTCCTATTTTGTTTGTATCTCCAACACTCAGGCAGTAGATGTTTTGGTGTTTGCTTGGGCCCACAGCTGCAAATATCAACTGTTGACTGTCTAATTCTCTTCATATATGATTTGTAGAAGCCGTGCCCCAATTTCAGCTGGTAAAAGGCCGAGCAGATCTCCTTTCTAGTGCCACTAGGTACCCATGGTTTTCTTCTTGTTTGCCAAGGGAATACTCCAGTGTAAGCAGAGTATTCTTCTCGTTCCTGTCTTTTTAATTCGTAGTTTTCTACCAATCTGTTCCATTTTTGGAATTTGATATCCTCCATTTTTAGGTTGACAAAAGCAAAGCTTAAAGGACAGCTTTCAACTGGCTCCATAAAAGATGCTTGTTTAGCAAGCCTATCTGCTTCCTTATTTCCTTGGATATCCTTGTGAGCTGGTACCCATTCCATTCTGACCTTTGTTCATCGATTTTTAAGCTTCCTGGCTGCATGTATGGCTCTAATTACCCTTAATTGGCCCGCTTTATTGAGCAAATCTTTCAGTCTCTTTAGAGCACCTTGATTATCTGAGAGGATTGTGATGAGCTCCTTGTTCCATATCTGCCTCTCTGCATGTTCAATTGCTCTCACAATTCCTCCCAATTCCCCATCATATATAGTGTTACTATGTTTTGAAATAGTGTAGTATTCTGGTATCTTTTTCAAGTTTACTTGGTCCCAAGCTATCAGAGAGATTCCTATTCCTCCAGCATCAGGCGAGATAGATGCATCAGTATAGCACACTACTCGATTTGTTGCTTGAACATTGGTTAAGAATTGATTATGTATTAGTTTTGCTTCATTTTTGTCTATCTTCTCTATATTAATATCATATGGTAGATCAGTGTTCCAGGGAGCATTGAAATTGTGTAGTACTGGTTCAATTCCACCTATTCACTGTTATATTGTATAGATTTTCTGATTCTCATAACCTGGTTTTCTCCATTGCAAAAGTGTTCACCTGTGTTCCATTCTTCAGAGGTTTCTTTCATAATCCTAGCTATTGGATGATTTGACTTTAATGTTATTATTCTCACTGCATATTTTCTTCTGCTTTGATTCAATCTGATCTCTGGTGGGCAAAGACATGCTTTTACCTCCATTGGTCTGATTAGAGTGGTTTTAAAACATCCCAGTATTTTTCTTAGTGCTTCATTTTGGAGGCCTTGCGACTGATCACTGAAAGGACGTTGTCCTCTCCATCAAACTGGACTAGCGTAATCTGCTATTGTTGTGACATAGGCTAGTTATAGCTGTCTCATAGCCATATGGCTGAGGCATCTCTCATTGTTAGTCAGTCTTGTCATTCTTTGGAAGGCTCATTTCGCCTGGGCCACTCTTATTTTCACATGATGTTTGAAGGTCAGCTTATGGTCAAACCAGACTCCGAAACATTTGACAATTTTGCAGGGTGATATTTTTGTATCACTAGGTAGGGAGAGCTAGCTGTTCTCAGCCTCCTTTGAAGCTCCAAAGTGTATTAATTCTGTTTTATCAATGTCAAATTGTACTGCATTCTGTCATCCTATTTCTTGCAGGGTACTGTATTCCCTTTCCAAAATTTGTGTATTTTTCTTGAAGC